AATTCTTCTCAATTGAGTTCTATTGTGAGCTGCTACTTCCCACTCATTCTGCACATTAATTCCCTTTAAGTTTTCGTGGAAAATGTCCTTGTACCTTTTGAGTTGTCCACCTGGCCTCTTCTTACCGTCTACAAGCTCACCGTAAAGCAGTGATTTTGGTATGCGGTTTTCTTGCATTCTGCATACGTGACCAGCCCATCTTAGTCGGGATTTTGTAACCATGACTTCAATACTCTCGCAGTTAGCTTTTTCAAGAACCGATACGTTTGAGACGTGATGGAACCATTTAATTCTCTCGTAATTTAAGGAATTCAGAGAAGAACAAATACCGATGTGTACAAATGAAGATGTTTATGTTATCGAAATTTTGAAACATGAAGAAATACAATTTCAGGCATGAGCTCAGAACCGGATCTTAAAAGATAATTTAAGAGATTAGATTACAAAAACATAGATATTGGGAAATATTGTAAGCTTTGTACCTCTTTGAAGTGTGGATCGAGATAGTACAAACTTAAATAATTGCAAATTTTCATTGTGTTTATTTATTTTGACTTACACAACGTTTCGTTAGATGGATCCAATTACCACTGGACCGTTATGAGTTGTAAACTACATAATCTCATTCCTAATACTTCTTATTTTCGTCCGTTAACTCTCGAAATCGTGAGTATGGTGACATCATGTCTCAATTGCGCGGATCGTTGTTCTCCATCTTTCTCTATCTTGAGCGGCTAGAGAAGCCTCTTGCAGACCGTGACCAATAATTTTTTTGGTTTGGTCCACCCAGCCCGTCCGAGACCTTCCTCTTGGTGGCTTGCCATTAATCTTCCCTTCGATTATCATTTTTCCAGTCTATCTGTTCTTCTCAAAATGCGCCCGAAGTAATTTTTTCGTCATAGCCTCCCCTTCTTTGTTATGAGGAATCCGAGGCAATTGAACTTTTCAACCACCTCAAAACCATAAATCTACCCACTCTCCCTCATAAAATTACTGAGCCTTTATACTACAACCACGCATTGTGCACCCGTGAAGAAGTTGGGTGCAGTCAACCCAACTTAGGTGTTGTGCATTGAAAATGCCAGCAGGTTGTCCATATCGTGGATCCCCAGGTCGGTGCTCTAATAAACTTAGTATTTATTTTTTTATTAGACAAATAAAAAGATACAAGGGGAAAATAGAGGTCCCTTACAAGAGAAATTACTTGTGGCGGATTCAATATGGTGGATCAAATCCTATATGGGTATTTCGCCACTGCACTGCAAGAAAATCTACAGAATAAAATAGTTATTTTTTGTAAACACTTCTGCGTTAAATCCAAACGGAAACTACTTGTCAGAAGTTATGTTTACAGTTATACAAATTTGCCTAACAAAGAATAAAATGCTTGACGTTTCAGAAAGTTTGTTTCTTTCCGTCCACATTAATTATTCCGTTCTCTTTCATTTTAACAGAACGTCAACGGTTTCTTGTAGACGTACCTGTTTTAAAAAACTAAAGTGATCTCGAATAGTTGAATTTAAATATTTTAGATAGTTTTTTTCTTTATTCTTTGTATATCTTTTGCTTCCGACGACGGAAAGAGATAAACTTTCCGAAACGTTAAGCATTTTTTTTCTTTGTTAGGCAAATTTGTATAACTGTAAACATGTAGTGTCCGTATAACCGACAAGTAGTGTCCGTTTGGATTTAACGCAGAAGTGTTTACAAAATAATTATTTTGTAGATTTTCTTGCAGCGCAGTGGCGAAATACCTATATAGGATTTTTTTTGGAAAAATTTCAAAATGTGTCAAATTAAAGAACGAATTGTATTATTTCTAATATTATTTTTTTAAATTTCTGCTCCAGTGGCGAAATGCTCAGCATTTTTTTAATATTAAAATTAAATTCTCATTTTTATAAGCAAACATTCAAAATAAACATCTAAATTTTTAACAATCTTTTTGTTTCTCCTTTTCATTAAAACTTAAACATTAACATACTTAAAATTCAATTCAAACTTTTACTTTCTCGATTTAATTTTCCCATTTTTCATTTTCTTAACGACTCCACGTCATTTTAATTGCGCATTTGGTATATTTTTGAATCGGACTTAATAGAAAATCGTGCACGAATTATATTTTCTCGAGACCGGGCGATGATTTTCTCGTTCTTGAACCGTAGCTTGATATGGCTTGGAGATGATTGATTAAAAAATAGGCACAAAAAATGCAAGTTATTCGACCTGAGTGGCCATATAGTAATTATAACATAATTTTGGCGAGGAAAAACATTGTAGCAAGTGGTTTCTTTTTATGATTTTACTTTCAATTTTTCATTTCTCTTTCTTACATATTAGTTCAGTGAGAAATTTTTGGTTTTACACATCAACGACAAACAGAAATCACTTAATGATTTTTTTTGAAAATATTTCTAGTATATGACTAATAAAAAAAAATATACAGGGTCCGGCAATCATGCGTCGGGCATCTGTAACTCCTATAAAAAAGTGCAAATCTAAAGTATGTACTACCATGTTTCTCAAAAAAAAACACCCTGAATATTATTGCATGTTTGGCTTCCTTTCAGATGACGACCGTTCGTGCCATGAACTTGGTTCGGCTGATGTCGAGGATGGAGAGTTGGCCTCTGTAGAGCCGTCTCAGACACTGGCTTTTGATAAAGCCCTGAGACTGTATGGTGAGTTATAACTCAAGAAAAGGGACCTCGCAATGCATCTGTAAGGTCGCGGTGATAAACTCCCCTAAACATTCGATATTCTACATTCATTTTAGATCAATTTAGATAACCGTAAGGTATGAATAAACTTTGGCAGCAAATTCTGCAGATAAAAATAAAAAATCGTATAAATGTATGTTCTAAAATGCTTAGTTTCGGAGATACAGGGTGTAGAATTTTGATTTTTGTTTAAATTTTTTTAAAACAATTTCTGAAGTAACGTCAATATTTGGATGAAAATTGGTGTCTGGGAGTTTTTGACATGAGAAATTTGATTTTGATGTCAATATGACTCCTATTTGTAGGAGGTGCCTCCTACATGTGTTTTAACTGTTTTGAAGAGTAATAATTTTTCGTTCATACCTGTATAAAATTACTGAGTGAAAAAATATATGTTTTCGTGATTTTTTACATAAAAAAATGTCTCTTGTTAAAAATCGCTACGATACATCGAATACATGTCATTATTGACAAAAAATAAACATGTAGTTATTTTACTGAAATGATAAATTTGGAAACTTTTTATTTTTTTAAATTCATCATAAATTTTTCTTGGAAAAAATGATGATAAAACAGTTTCTGTTGAACTTTTGACATAAAATCATTTCAAATTTATGATTTCAGTCTAATAACTATTTAGTCAACATGTTTAATTTATGTCAATGATGGACAGGTATTGATAATTTTGTTCCAAATATCTCGAGAATCTACTCGTGGCGATTTTTACCAAAAGATCTTTTTTACGTAAAAAACGTTGCAAATGTATATTTTTTTACTCAGGAGTTTTATACAGATACGGACGAAAATTTATTACGCTTCAAACAAGTTAAAATATATTTATGTAGGTGGTGCCCTCTACAAGTATAGGAGTCATATTGACATCTAAATTAAATTTCTCATGTCAAAAAACTCCCAGATACCAATTTTCATCCAAATATTGACATTACTTCAGAAATTATTTGAAAAAAATCGAAATAACAATGTCTTCAAAACTAAGCATTTTAGGACATACATTTATAGGAACTTTTTTACTTACTTTTAGCTGCAGAATATATAAACTGCCAAAGTTTCAGGAATACAGTTCGGACCACCCTGTATTTCGATAGTTAAAGAGATATTAATAAATAAATAGAATATATATATATATACATTTTTCAACCTTTCTTCAAAAAATTATTACTAATACAACTGTCCTGAAATCAAAACTATATTAGATATTAACTTGATGATGTTCTATACTTATTATGCTATAAATATCGTAATCTTAAATCATACAGGGTGTTCAAATTTCTATGCCACACTTTCTACAATATTAAAAACAAATTTTCATCGTATTTTTAAATGTATCAATTTTTTCACGATACATATTATTTTTTATTAGACGAAGAATTAAAAATTGGACATTTTTTGTTTTATTTCAGTATTTCAAAACTTTTATCGGTTTCGCAGATACTCGCGTTATTGTTTTATTTATTATTTTATTTTTATAAAATTCGATATGAAATATAAAACCGCAAATATCTGAGAAACCGTTAAAAATTTTGTAATACTCAAAAAATGTTTTTTAATTCTCCATCTATTAAAAAAATAATATATACAGAATGTTCCATTTAAAAAAGGAAGAAAATTTATTTTATATTTTATAAAGCTGGGCATAGAATTTTGAACATCCTGTATGACTTAAAATTACAACATTTATAGCAAAGCAAGTAGAGACCATCTAAACTAAACACCTAATATGGTTTTGATTTCAGGATACATCTTGATAATTTTTAATAATTGTTTTAAGAAAGGCTAAAAAAAATATATTTTTTTATTTATTTGTCAATAACTATCGAAATATATTTACTCATATCTTAGGATTATTAAATTGATCTGAAAAGAAGCCAAAAATGTAATAATATACAGAGCGTATATTTAAAAAAAATATATTGACAAAATTAACTAAGTCATTGCAAGTTGACTTGGTTGATTGTTGATTCTGTAGCATATTTGTAGTTTTTTATAAATGTTTTCATTATCTTACTTATTTTTGTTAGAATAATAAATAAGTTATTTTGTCAAAAATCAATTTTGTTAACAATCAACATCGATTGACTCCACGTAAAACAAGACGAACAAATGAACTTCAAGTCAGCCATGTTAAAGATCCCTTGCGATCGCGATAAATAACTTTTTCTGCGATGTTACTTTCTTGATTATACGTTTTTTTATTGTTTATTTATTCAATGTGTGATTATAATTACATTACATATTTGTTTTGACTATTTTAATACTTACGTGGGTATTGATGTATAATACAACAATAATTTGGCTATTTCATATTTGTTTAAAGCTGCCCTTGATATACATTCCGCATAGCAGAGAATTATTGGTCGTTTGTCGTTGTCATGGGTCCCTGTAACAATAAAATAATATTAAGAACAATGAAAGATAGTCAGTATTGTAATATTTAATGTTCTGAATATTAAGTTAATAATGTGAAATTTTGTTACTGTGTAGAATTCCTATTTAGGAATTCGATTATCAAAAATCTTAAATTAGGGGAAAGTCGCTTATACTGTACTGGCTCCTAAATCGTACCTATTAAATATATGCAGATGGTTTAAAATTGCATTGGCGCGACACCTTGCAGTACATTTAGTAAGTCGAACAAGACACCTAGTAATACCTAGGACCTATTTCCAGTAGCATGGGTGCTTGAAGAACTAATACCTATCAAAAAAACTGTGTACCTATGCTCTAATATTTCAATGGCAATAGTAAATGGTTTTTATGGCTTGAGGGAATGTAATTGAGATGTGTATTTGTTCCTCAAACCAAAACTAGAGCATTTTGAAATAATAGAAAACCTAGTGGGATGATTCGGTAACGGGTTTCCTGAATTGTACGATTTGTAAAGTTTCTGTTTAAATAATGCTAATAAAAATCTGAAAAAATGTATACGATGTGGAAGAAATGAAACTAAATATTCGCATTTATCGCAACTACCCAGTTCATAAATTCGATAATTTTTAAGTTGTGTGCAAATCGGTACGGCCGCGGCCTAGGCAATAGGAACTATAGGCGGCTTTATAGGATTTTTTTAAATAATAAAAGTATTTTAAAAATACACTTCATTTTTATACAGTGTGTCCCACAACTAGTGCGACAAACTGAAAGGGGTTGTAGTAGAGGGCATCAAAACAAGTAATTTGAGTATAGGAACGTCCGGAAATGTGCCGTTTTGGCAGGAGGTGGAGTGAAACGTAAATTTCAAGTTGCATTATTTATTCAAAACATTTACAAAAACTGCTCAAAGTGCCGTCCATTCTGTTGGAGAGACAAATGGACACGCCTGTTCGCTGTTGATAGTAGGTCGTGCAGTCCGTGTTGGTACCTTAGTGCACGTCCAGTCAAGTTCCTTCCGCTCATTTTAATAATACCGGACATGGGTTCCTATACTCAAATGACTTGTTTGGATGCCCTCTATAACCCCTTTCAGTTTGTCGCACTAATTGTGGGACACCCTGTATAATATTTGAAGGAATATACATTATAACAATGTATCTTCAAGCAGGAAGGAAAATAAAAAGTAGACGTCAACGACTGGCGCGTAGATGGAAACGTTAAGCAAATATCAATAATGTAGAATGCGCTTAAAGTAAATAATATCACAAACATAACTGTAAATAGCTACATTGAAAAACTAAACTTATTTGTCAATTATCGTATGGATTATAATTGTAGGTATTTAGCTGAGAAATGTACATATTCTATTCGTAAGATATACGTATTTCTTACAGAAATACCACCCAGGAAACAATGTATTTTGGTATGAATAACCAAAACTGATATTCAAGACGTGCATTTAATAATATTGTTTATCGCAGTAATAGATAGAGAGTAGGACTAAAAATGTACTTTTAGATACTATATACTTCTTGCATAAAGCTATGTACAATTTTTAAATTTATTGGTTGCCAATCATGGACATATTCGGCGCCGGTGTGACTAACTGGAATTTAAATTTCGCTCTGGGGATTCAGGTGGTAGCTCTGCTGTAAAAAATGTCAAGTTGCCATATTTATTTATTTATTTTCTGACATTTTCATTAGTTTTGACACTTTAGTTAGTTACAGTAACCCAAGTAACACAACCTTGCAGTCGAACATCTTTTAGTGCAAAGTGTACAAGATAGCTTAATAGCAGTTCCAAAAAACTTATCGCCAACCATATTAGAATATTTTGAACGAGACAGTGAATGGCCCTTTATGTCCTTTAAGTGCTGTTAAGGAGGTGAGTTTTGTTGATGTAAATAATAACTGTTTATATATTTATAATTAATTTATTTTTGTAATAATGAAAGTATATTGTAAATAAGAATATGCAGTTTTAATTGTCGTTTATTAGACGCCCACCTTTAACACCTTTAACTATAATATTTGTTACATTTTTTTAATTATAATTGTGGGGAATTGTTACCTGCTTCAGACTATAGTTACAAACGTTGTTTATCAAGTAGAGAGTTTTTTTTCTGAAAAGTCAGTTTGCCCTGTCCAGTAAACGCAAGCACTTTTTGCCCAGCAAAATTATTTTAAAAATTACGATGAGCGATTCCGAAAGTCTCCCTTTAGATGTAGAGGTTGCCGCAGTACGTGCCACGGAACATTAGCGTAATTAGCAATTCATCGGGGGGGGGGGCTGGTGCTTTTGTTTTTTAAAAAATTAAGAATAATTTAAAAAACACATTTTTTGAATAAAACGTTTACATAAATTTTTCTATCAATAAATTTCATAGACTTGGTCATCACACCCTGTTCCCGTAGATTACCTAAATACCTACAGATTTTCTAAAAAAATAAAAATTAACACATTTTTTGAACACAGCATAATAATATTAACTAAACAAAACTAGAAAACGGCATTTTTACTACATCACAAGCAAATAAAAATTAATACGTAGCCAAGAGTCATAATTCAAGATTTCCCTGGGGGGTGCCCAGCAGTACCTGGGGGGGGGGGCACCCCTGGGCACCGCTGTAGTTACGCCAATGCAACGGAATCATTATTGCCGGAAAAGTCGCGATCAAAATATGAAAAAAACATACAACCAGTTTTTGACATGGTGTGATGACAAAAAGGTGAAAAATCAATGCAATGAAAAAGTAATTTTAGCATATTTTGAAAATTTTGCACGGAAATAAAGCGCATCAAGTCTATGGACATTTTATTCTATGTTGCGAGCCACAATATCCCTGAAGAAGAACGTCGATATAAGTAAATATGCCCAAATCATTGCTTTCCTCAAAAGAAAATCTGAGTCCTACCAGCCGAGTGCGAGCCAAACCGATCAACAGCCCAATCTATTTCAATTAGACCTTCACTATTATCATGGTCATCATCATCAGCAGCAATTAATTGTTTTGAAGAAATGTAAAAATGTGTTATTAATATTTATAATGTTGTTTTTCATCATTATAAAAACTAGTTGTGTTATGAATCTCATAACGTAACTGAAACACTAAAAAAGATTGTAGATAAGATATATTACTATAATATATTAATATATGAATATTTTTTAAAATACATGAAAATTTAAAAGTTTGTAGGGAAAGCAGTTGTGAATTACTACTACGAAAAACTACGTGAATTATTGAAAACATTTTTTTGCTACGAAGATACTTATTATTTTAAAGCTGAACAACTCTTTATTGTATTAATACTTTAAGCATATAAATGGCCTCTTACAATGGCGAACAAGTGCCGACGCTCGCGGCTGTTTATTATTTATAGCAATTTCTAATTTATTACTAATGCTGCATTGTGTTGGAGAGTTAATGATAAGTAGCAATTGATTTATGGGCACCATCTTTATGTAAATTACGTTTTTTAAATATGCTAATTATTTCCGATAAATTATTAAATTATATACGCATTGACACGTCGAGTAGCAGTAGAGTAAATTTACCGTCAGTATTAAGAAACTTTTTTACTTCATAATGAAGACATACAATTTTTACGTTGTATACTGGTGGTTTCAAATTCGAATCTCACTATTGGTATCTCTCGGAAACGGTAAGAGATACAGTGTGTATCAATGCATTTTTGGATTTAATTTAGATACAGATCCTGCTGTCTTTGGTATATAAATAATCTAATAAAAGTATCGAAAATCTTTTTACATAAAATTATCGCCTTTAATGGGCTTTTCCTTATTTGAACCGAACTTTCATCGTCACGTTTTCGACAGGATCCTAATCTATTAAAGCCTTTTCTGACATTTATTTGACATTTTCTCGGAGTAATAAATCAAAATCAGTTCGAACAATCAACGAAAATCTGTCCCGTTTACCTGACAAGTACGCGAAACGCGAGTCAAGTATGTGTTACATAAAAATCAGCTGCTGTGGGTAATAAACTGTCGCTTCCGTATGTCCATAAATGTTTATTTAAGCATTATCTTTAAGTAAGAACTCACGAAATACGATTTAGATACGAAGATTTTAGAGCATGGTCACGATATTATCTGGGTTCAGTATAATTTATTCAATAATTAATTGTAGAAAAACTTCAAGATTACTGGTGGTTCCTCGTAGATTAATAATAGATAGATATTTTGGAAATATCCGGTCCGGTAAATCAACTATTGCTGAGAAATTCAGAATTTCGAAACGAATACTGTAAAAATTGCGGAAGAATGATGTACAGGGTGTCCCATTTTAGTTGAAATCATACGGTATCTGCGTTATTAGTGCAGTAGAAGGATGCGGTTTGCACAAATCTGTCCCACTTTTTTGTCAAACGAAAGATGTTGTAAACAAAATTTCCATACTTAGACATCTTTGTTTCTGAGCTAGAGGTTCTTTTTAAAAATTTTGTTTATTGTAGACCATTTTAAGAAGAATACAGTGGCGTAGTCTGATATTCAATGAAAATATTATTTTTGAAGAATTGAACTAAAGTTATGTTTTTCTCATATGGAACACCCTGTATATTTATAAACTATATGATATGGCTTGCCTCTGAGCTTTTCAAAAATATATATCACTCTATATTTATTTTCCCGCCAAACGAGGGTTCCGTACAAATTTTTAGGTACATCTTAGAAATTGTTCAGGAATCAATACTCGCAGTTTTTTTTCGAGCTTTTTCAAAAATTCAGTTTCTAAAACATATAGTTATTGTACTTAATAGAAAATTGTGGTTATACTAAATGTTCATATTTAAATTAGTTAGGTAACCTAATCAAAGTTGATTTTTTAAACGATTTTTTAACGAATTTGGACCGCTGCGGCGCCAATTCAATCGGTTTGCGAGATGCGAATTACCGAATTCATCTAATAACCAACACGGGACGCGGCGCGGCGTTTAGGGTTGCCACCTGTCCTTATTTGAAAAGGATAGTCCTTTTTGGAA